AGTCTGGGGAATTTCATCCCGAAGCCTAAGTAGGGATGAGTCAACATCTAACATGTGTTGCCGGGTAGCCTATTCTCGTAACAAGGGCGAAGCCTATGTATTCAAAATCATAGCACAAAGTCTTAGAGAATTCACTCTCTTAGCACAACGTTACATGCGGAACGGATTTAGACAATCCGCATGCTAGCCCGATTCAAACGGGTAATCGGTAAAGGCACATCAAACCCGTTGAAGGCTGGGGGTTTGCCAAAAATCCCAAAGTCTATGTCTAACACACATGGCCTTCGGTTACGTCATGGCCGTTCGAGACTTGGGGAATGGACATTGTTGGTCCTATAAATCCTCCGTCAGTCAAAGGCGACCGGTTCATCTTGGCAATTACCGATTACTTCTCCAAATGGGCCGAAGCAATTCCACTCAGAGAAGTTAAGACGAGCAACGTCATTGGATTCATCAAGCACCACATCATCTATAGGTATGGTGTTCCAAGACGAATCATACATGACAACGGTCCTCAGTTTGTCAGCAACGCCTTCATAAGGTTCTGCGAAAAGTTTAAAATTCAGGACATCTCGTCGACGGCGTATAATCCTACAGCGAATGGATTAGCTGAAGCCTTCAACAAGACCATCATCAAACTCTTGTCAAAGATCGTGAAGACCAACAAACGAGACTGGAATGACAAGCTTGGCGCAGCTCTATGGGCCTATCGGACCACGGTGCGCACACCAACGGGAGCGACCCCGTATTCACTGGTATACGGATGTGAAGCTGTTCTTCCATTGGAGATCCAAATACCATCTCTTCGGATCGCTCTTTCAACCCAGATGTCAACCGAAGAACAACATCAGAAACGCCTCGAAGAACTCGAGAGGCTTGATGAAGAGCGCCTGGAAGCTCAACAGCATATTGAGTTTTACCAAGCTAGAATTTCTCGAGCCTTCGACAAAAAGGTTCGACAAAGGAGTTTCAAAGAAGGAGATTTGGTTCTAGCTGCGAAACGGCCTATGATCCTTAACTCCAAGAAAAAGGGTAAATTCGAACCCAAATGGGAGGGACCATTCGTAGTGGAGACAGTCTACTCGAGTGGCGCCTATCGCCTTGTCACCAAAGACGGCGACCGGCTCATGATGCCGATAAACGGCAAATTCCTGAAAAGATACTATCCTTAGTATCTTTTTGGATAACCAATGCATCGGGAAGTTCCCGGAAGAATGCCACATGGGTATTCTTAGGGATAGCCCGGTCATTGTGAAATTGACGGATAAGAACTCTGCATTCGAACTCTGAAGGTCAGAATGTCTCTTCTTATTCTCGTCAAAATTCTCCAACTCTTATGAGTTATCTTTGTGAGATGAGATCCAATCCTCTGGTAGGTTAATCTTTCCTCACCAAACCATCCGCTGATCAAATCAAACGACAGTGGACCCACCAACATTTCCATCTGCCAGTCATTGGCGTTTCTCAGACTCAACGTGTTAGGTCAGAACCACCTAGCACTAAAGTCTCCCTTTGAAGTGATAATACGAGTTGGCACTCTCTTTGTTACCCGTATTCCACTTTCTTTGCTTTCTGGTCAAACCTTCCTACAGTTAGGACCAAAGCCAAAATCCCCTCTCAATTCCTCCAATGAACGAGAGGTCCAATTTCAAATCGAGTGATCAAACCTTCCAACAGTTAGGGTCATCTCAAACTCCAGTTTGGTCAAACCTTCCTACAGTTAGGACCAAAGCCAAATTCCCCTCTCGATTCCTTCCATGAACGAGAGGTCCACTTGGAACAGTCAAACCTATAAAAGTTAGGATTGTTTCCGATCTCGCTTAGTCAAGCCTACACATAGTCAAGACTAAGGTCGAGTCACTCATTTTCGATAAACGAAAATCTACCTTTGTCCCCTTTTCCACCAAACCTATAAAAGTTAGGGTTGAAATTGGGTTTTCTCCTCAATGAATGAGGGGTTCTTTGAGTTCAAATGACCAATCCTATAAAAGGTAATGTCGTTAGAACCTTTCCGATTCTCGGAGTGGAGATCCCACTCTTAGTTTCATCCTTCCGGATTCTGGAGGTGGAGATCCCACCTCGAGTTTCCTTTCCAGCTGAAGATAGAATATAAAATTCTTCCTCTTTAGCACCTCGATTCCACCAATGAACGAGAGGTCCACTTTCAACTCGAATAGTCAAACCTTCCGACAGTTAGGGTTATCCGAGTCTTTCCGATTCTCGGAGTGGAGATCCCCCCTCCCAGTTCATCCTTCCGGATTCTGGAGGTGGAGATCCCACCTCGAGTTTCCTTTCCAGCTGAAGATAGAATATAAAATTCTTCCTCTTCAGCACCGGGAGATAGAATATAAAATTCTTCCTCTCCTCGGACCTTCCCGATGCTCGGAGTGGAGATCCCACTCCCAGTTCATCATTCCGGATGCTCGGAGTGGAGATCCCACTCCCAGTTCATCATCCCGGATGCTCGGAGTGGAGATCCCACTCCCAGTTCATCCTTCCGGATTCTGGGGGTGGAGATCCCACCTCGAGTTTCCTTTCCAGCTGAAGATAGAATATAAAATTCTTCCTCTTTAGCACCGGGAGATAGAATATAAAATTCTTCCTCTCCTCGGACCTTTCCGATGCTCGGAGTGGAGATCCCACTCCCAGTTCATCATCCCGGGTGCTCGGAGTGGAGATCCCATTCCCAGTTCATCCTTCCAGATACTGGGGGTGGAGAATCCCACCTCGAGTTTCTTTTCCAGCTGAAGATAGAATATAAAATTCTTCCTCTTTAGCACCGGGAGATAGAATATAAAATTCTTCCTCTCCTCGGACCTTTCCGATGCTCGGAGTGGAAATCCCACTCCCAGTTCATCCTTTCCGATGCTCGGAGTGGAAATCCCACTCCCAGTTCATCCTTTCCGATGCTCGGAGTGGAAATCCCACTCCCAGTTCATCCTTTCCGATGCTCGGAGTGGAAATCCCACTCCCAGTTCATCCTTTCGGATGCTCGGAGTGGAGATCCCACTCCCAGTTCATCATCCCGGATGCTCGGAGTGGAGATCCCACTCCCAGTTCATCATCCCGGATGCTCGGAGTGGAGATCCCACTCCCAGTTCATCATTCCGGATGCTCGGAGTGAAGATCCCACTCCCAGTTCATCCTTCCAGATACTGGGGGTGGGGATTTCCACCTCGAGTTTCTTTTCCAGCTGAAGATAGAATATAAAATTCTTCCTCTTTAGCACCGGGAGATAGAATATAAAATTCTTCCTCTCCTATTTGACACAACTTTCAACTTCCAATCCGCGCACTTGGTGCATGGGGAATCTTATCCCGAATCCTAAGTAGGGATAAGTCAACACCTAACACGTGTTGCCGGGTAGCCTATTCCCGTAACAAGGGCAAAGTCTACGTATTCGAAGTCGTAGCATTAAGTCTAAGGGAGTTCATTCCTTTAGCACAACGTTACATGCGGAACGGATTTCGACAATCCGCATGCTAGCCCGATTCAAACGGTAATCGGTAAAGGCGTATCAAACCCGTTGAAGGCTGGGGGTTTGCCAAAAACCCCAAAGTCAACGCCTAACACGCGTTGCCGGGTAGTCTATTCCCGTAAGAAAGACGAAGTCTATGTATTCAAAGTCATAGCATCAAATCTAAGAAAAGCAATTTTCTTAGCACAACGTTACATGCGGAACGGATTTCGACAATCCGCATGCTAGCCCGATTCAAACGGTAATCGGTAAAGGCACATCAAACCCGTTGATGGCTGGGGGTTTGCCAAAAATCCCATAAAATCTGTCATTCAGAAGAAATACAGACAAATCACAAAAAAAAAAAAAGCAAATGCGGAGTTTCTATTAATAGGTCAAGTCAAAAGCATACAACAAAGAGCTCATTAGCCCGAAGGCAACTGACGGCTAAGAATATGAGACTTTAAGCTAAAAAGTCTATCTGCATAACTCTGCTCAAGTCCCGCCTGCAGATCTGCGCGGGCAGATTCTTCAGAACAGCTCAAAATCTCCGCAGCTTCACTCTTCAACTTCATCAATCCCTCCTGAGTGGATCCGAACTCCTCGAGTACCCGGTCACGAGAACGCTCTAGTCCGATCAAGTCATCTGCGATAAGAACGGCGGATTCCTCGGCACGCTTCAAGGCCTCCTTCAACCTAGTCGCTTCCTCGCGATTCGAGTCCAAGGAACGGAGTAACTCAGCTTTCTCCCTATCCATCCTCGCCATGTTAGCCATTAGATGCGCAAGGGAGCTCTCGCGTGACTGAAGCTCACGCCCGACGGAAGATCTCAGTTCACGCCACTGCTCCATCCTATGCTCTAACTCAGAGGATACGAAAGAAGAAGCCCCGGTAACCTCCAGTTCCTTCAACTCTCGTATCTCTGACTCCAGGGCAGCGAAATCAGCAGTGAAGGAATCAGCCAGTTCCGGGTATCCTTCTTCCCTCATCATCGTCATGTGGCGAGAGAAGGAACGCCGGAACTGATCGAAGCCGCCTCCTCGGTGGAGAAGCTTCTCGATCAAGCCATTATACCAGGCGGTGAAGAAGCTGAGGTCCGTACGGAAAGCCTCTCCGTCAGGATCAGTATCGGCCAAAAGGCTACGGACACGCTCGTGCAAAGAAGATCGAGATCCTACAAGCAACAACTTGGAAGCTCAGTGAACTATCGAATATGAAAAGGAAAGTCAAAAGGCAAGTTCTGAACATACCGACACCAACAGACGTCCCCTCGGGTTGAGGTCCGACAGGCTCTGGGATAGCAGCAGAAGAAGGTACATCAGCCCCTGCAGGCGGAGTGCTCACACCACTCGGCAGAGACGGGGAGGCACCACTGCTATGAGGACTTTCAACCCCGGGGACTGTAGCAGTATCAGGCTGAACGCCTGGTCCTACAGTGACATTCCTATGTTAACCAAATGGAAATTTGGACAAATAAGGAGAATCGGGATAAGAAGGTCGTATGAATACCTGCAATCCCCATGTCCTCAGATGCAGCCGGAATGCCAAGAGTCATAAGAGTATCGGCCCAAGCTGCTGGTCCTATGATGACACTCTCTTATTAGTCAAAATGAAAATTTAGACGAATAAGAAGAATTGGGATCTGCATACCTGTAGATCCATTATCCGCGGGCATTTGAGGGATGCCAGGAGTCATATGAGAATCAGTCCTAGCGGCTGGTCCTATGATTGCACTCATTAGTCAAAAGACAGATAAACATAGGAAAGTACAATATCCCTGAATCGTATACATACCTGCAAGCCCGTCGCTCTGAGGCAAACTGGATATGCCAGGGATAGATACCGGGCTAACTCCAATGGTAGACGCTGCGATAATCAATCATTCATTAGTCATATGAAATATCGGGCAAGAGGGAGAAAATCAGATATATACCGGTAGATGAATCGGAGTTTCTATTAATAGGTCAAGTCAAAAGCATACAACAAAGAGCTCATTAGCCCGAAGGCAACTGACGGCTAAGAATATGAGACTTTAAGCTAAAAAGTCTATCTGTATAACTCTGCTCAAGTCCCGCCTGCAGATCTGCTCGGGCAGATTCCTCAGAACAGCTCAAGATCTCCGCAGCTTCACTCTTCAACTTCATCAATCCCTCCTGAGTGGATCCGAACTCCTCGAGTACCTGGTCACGGGAACGCTCTAGTCCGATCAAGTCGTCTGCAATAAGAACGGCGAATTCTTCGGCACGCTTCAAGGCCTCCTTCAACCTAGTCGCTTCCTCGCGATTCGAGTCCAAGGAACGGAGTAACTCAGCTTTCTCCCTATCCATCCTCGCCATGTTAGCCATTAGATGCGCAAGGGAGCTCTCGCGTGACTGAAGCTCACGCCCGACGGAAGATCTCAGTTCACGCCACTGCTCCATCCTATGCTCTAACTCAGAGGATACGAAAGAAGAAGTCCCGGTAACCTCCAGTTCCTTCAACTCTCGTATCTCTGACTCCAGGGCGGCGAAATCAGCAGTGAAGGAATCAGCCAGTTCCGGGTATCCTTCTTCCCTCATCATCGTCATGTGGCGAGAGAAGGAACGCCGGAACTGATCGAAGCCGCCTCCTCGGTGAAGAAGCTTCTCGATCAAGCCATTATACCAGGCGGTGAAGAAGCTGAGGTCCGTACGGAAAGCCTCTCTGTCAGGATCAGTATCGGCCAAAAGGCTACGGACACGCTCGTGCAAAGAAGAGCGAGATCCTACAAGCAACAACTTGGAAGCTCAGTGAACTATCGAATATGGAAAGGAAAGTCAAAAGGCAAGTTCGGAGCATACCGATGCCAACGGACGTCCCTTCGGGTTGAGGTCCGACGGGCTCTGAGACATTAGCCGAAGAAGGTATATCAGCACCTGCAGGTGGATTGCCCATACCACTCGGCAAAGGTGGGGAGGCACCATTACTATGAAGGCTTTCAGTCCTGAGAACTGTAGTGGTATCCGGCCCAGCGCCCGGTCCTACAGTGACACTCCTACGTTAACCAAATGGAAAAGTAAAGAGAATCGGGACAAGAAAATCGTATGCATACCTGCATTCCCCCCGTCCTCAGATACAGCCGGGATGCCAAGAGTCATAAGAGTATCGGCACAAACGGCTGGTCCTATGATGGCACTCTCTTATTAGTCAAAATGAAAATTTAGACCAATAAGAAGGATTGGGATAGTACAGTCATCTACATACCTGTAGATCCTTCACCCGTAGGCATTTGAGGGATGCCAGGAGTCATATGAGAATCAGTCCTAGTGGCTGGTCCTATGATCGCACTCATATATTAGTCAAAAGCCAGAGGAACATAGGAAAGTACAATATCCCTGAATCGTATGCATACCTGCAAGCCCGTCATTCTGAGGCAAACTGGATATGCCAGGGATAGATACCGGGCTAACTCCAATAGTTGACGCTGCGATAGTCAATCATTCATTAGTCAAATAAAAGATCGGGCAAGAGGAGGAGAATCAGATATGTACCGGTAGACGAATCATTCCCAAGGAATGGTCTCTCGGTCCCTCTGGAAGTTTGCTCAGCCAACATGTCAGCTAATAAACCGGCATCCGGCTTCGAGAAGCTTGGCCCCTCCATTGCAACATCTGCAGGGTAACCTGAATGATGAAAGATGAGGAAAGCTCAAGAAAATACTTTCAGCAAAAACGAGAAGTCTTCCTTCCCCAGGCTTGAGGAAAATGACATTGAATGTGGACGTACCTGAACAAGGGACTACGGGCTCAACATTATTCATCTGCTCAAGGTCGATGTTCAGATCAATGCCCAAGGACCCGTCGTGCAGAGCGTCACACATTTGTTGCACAAGGCAATCCATGTTATCAGCACCAGGGGACACCGGACCCGGTGGGATTTCGCCCTCTTCGAAGAACCCTGAAGCACGAAACATGGTTACAAATCACAAAAGGTAAACAACCTTGGAGCAAGAGCAATTGAATGTTACCTCCCCCGCCATCGGCAGTGCTCCCTAAGTCCACTCCATAGGGACGCTGACCGTCATGGGACTTGTGGGCGGTCTTCTTCCTCTTCAGGGCACCAACCCTTCGAGGGCCAACAGGTCGAACATGCGCAGGCCTATCACACGTTTCAACGTGTGTAGGAGCTGGTGGCTCATGATCATTGGCTGCCCTACCTAAAGTGACAATAGCCATTTCAATGAAAAAGAGCTGTCATTTATGAAAAAGGAAAATTAAAAGAGACAGGACAAACCGGTATCGAGATCCCCTCTGCCGGTATCTGCATCCACATACTCTTCCTCGGAGGTCTCGTCATCGTCACCCGTAGGGAGAAGTTCTTCTTCGTCTGAGACAAGAGATTTGGCATGCCCTTTTCTCCGCTTCTGAGCAAGCTCAGCTCTGCGACCAGCCATCATAGCAGCCCGGACCGCGTACTCGGACTGCAACTCTAAGAAGCTCCTCACGTTGATGGACTCATATGCAGAAAGGAACCACTTGCAGCTGAGGAAAGTGATCAGTGGCTTACGCCGATACGAAGGAAGAGCAAAACGGGCTCCAGTGCAGCCCACCATCGTCCATAGCCACGCTCGTACGCCATCAATCAATCCTCCCTCAACCTGCAGGCTACGGCTCGGATTCCCGACATACAGTTGGTCATAGCCGAATTGGCGAGCAAAGCGGCAAGGGAGATAAGGCTCTATGTGGCACTGATTCTTCACCCGAAGGACGAGATACCCTACGCGGATGTTCACTAACCACCGGAAGCAACCAGCGTCAAGAATGGTCCGGTCACTTCTGGGTTTCTCCTCATCAATCAGTGTGTCACCATAGCGACCCGAAAAGTGGGGAAAGCACTTAAAGAACTCCCAGCTTTTACGGACTCGAAGCTCTCGCTGAACATCACTGAATTTGGGCCCAATCCATTTACATTTCTCCAACAGCTGCATGAAAGGAACAGGGACATCTACCACGCTGGGCGCCGACATCAAGTCGGGGCGGTGAAGAACGAGCCACGCCATCAGATAAGCGTAAGGAAGCTCGACCTTCGGATTAGTAAGCTCAGTCGATGGTTCAGAACCCCTCTGTGTAAAGCCACTAGCCAGACACCTAAGCCCGCAGTGGATGCTGGCAACCATCGCTGGGAGCAGGGAAAGCTCTCTCCCGTAAGCTAGCTGAACCACCGGGAAGAGCACCCCGATGGGTAGAGCGTCTGAAGGCTGGTGCGGGACAACACATTTCTTCAACCAAAGGACAAGGTAGCCTGCTAGTAGAGTCCGGGGCCCAATGGACTTCTGTGCACGGCAGAGAAAAGAGCGAAACTTGGTCCCCGCAGGAAAAGCTCCCTCAGCATTGGCGATGGTGTAAGATTGAGCCTCAGCCTTTTCCAGCAACTCGTTAATCGCAGAAGGGGTCAATATGTCTAACTCATGAACGGACTCGCCGGAGTTACCCTCCAAGTTCTGGAACAAATAGCAGGCAAACTGCTTCAAGCTGATCTTCTTTTTCGTTTTTGCTGGAGGAGAAGTCAGGACCAAGGAAGTGTGATAATGACAGGTAAGATCCCAGAGAGTGTCATACATGTCCGGGGTATCTTTCTTCATACACTCCAGCTGCTGGTTCGTAGGGAAGTACTCCTGATACGGACAGTCCCCCATCGGAAGACCCGAAACATAATGCATCTCGTGCAAGGCCAACCCTAGCTCACCACCGCTGGTCAGGAAGGTGTTGCTATCGGGCATATAAGTCTCCAGCAAAGCCAAGAAATGGCGACAGCTAACTGGGATTCCGTACATAGTAGCTCGTATGGGTGCATATAACCCACTGCTCTTCAGATCCCTCTCCCAGCGCGCCAAGACGAAATCAGTCATGCGCGCCCACCACCCTTTGGCTAGTGAGGAAGCCCAGCCATAGCATCTGGGCTCTGGTGGAGGTAATCGCCTCCCCAGAAGAGCCAGACGATTACCCACAGTAGAGGCAGCTGCTGACGTCTCACCTGGGGGTGCAGTATCAAGGCCCGTGATCCCTGGTCGAAGACCACGAATAGGGTGATACCCGCCAGAACCAGGGGTCTTGGAATGAGAGGTATATCCACACGGGACTCGCTCAGCATCCTTAGTGAGATCCCAGGACATCTGTCGCCTCACGGCCTGTCTCCTCAAATGGGTAAAAGAATATTGGCGGGGAATTGATGGAATGTATAAAAGAGCTCCTCCATCAAGAGTTAACCAGTGCTCCTCAGGAAGAGTTAACGCAACAGGATCCTCCTTGTGATCTCCAAACAGGAAACTCGGCTTCTTTAAAGCCTGAGTAGAGGCAGAATCCGCGGTGAAAGAGGCATCTGTAATGAGCTGGCGTAAGCAGTGACGCCCTCCTTCCCGGATCAAACGGCAGGAGTCGTCAGAACGATCTTGGTCAAACTGAGGGAATGGGCTAATGACTTGCCCAATGGAAGTGGAGGAAAAAACCTCCCGGCTACAACCGGCATTGGCATGAGCAGGAAGACTACCCGCGGGGAATTCAACTGCAATAAAATACAAAGATGGAGTCAGAAAATCCGTCTCATAAGAAGAATGATAAGCTCATTCACGGAATAATTGGAGAGACGATTTTGAGTGTCCTACACCGGAAGAACGGTATGCATCATCACGTGAACAACGTGGCAACATATACCGAACTACAAGGTGTAAGACAACACAAGAATCGCCCCAATATATCCGAAGACTTGAATTGGCTAAGCAAAACAAGTCTGAAACCTTACCCTCCGCAATATATATAAATTCTCACCCCCGAAGAAAGAGGCCGCAGGGGAAGATGTAGCGGGAACCTCTTCCTCGCTGTGCTGCGAATGAGAACGACTCCTACGAGGTCG